GAACGTCCGCACATTCTAGCATCCAATAGCAAGAGTCCGTCCCTGATTGAGTAGTCCAATTCATATGCTATTCGCCCACACTGCTGGACCAGGTTTGCAGAGCCCGTCAGTTCCCTCGAACGGCATATCGAGGATCTTAATATTTGAATCGGATACTTAATGAGGTTTCTTGGGGATTTTAAGTACAAGCAAGTCCCCAACAGCCGCTACGATTGCCGACTTCGCGTATTCACCAGACCCGAGATCCTTCCGATTTTGTGACTGATCTTTACCGCCGGCTGGCACTCTGCTTGTTGATTTGTCTGGTAGTCAGTAGCTCTGGATCAGGTTAATTCATCTACTTCCCCTTAATTTCAGAGCTTTTCATCAAAGCGAATAAGCTGTTCAACTAATCTCTAGATCTCGTTTGATGCTCAATCACCCCACATGTTTCTTCGGCCTCTTCTATTCAGTAGTGTTTTTGAAAAACCATGCACTCTTCTGTCATTTTCAGCTGTTGGAAGTAGTCTGATAACAGAGAGAATGGTCAGTAAGAGGAAGGCAGTGACTCCTGACGAAGATAGCGACGCCTACTACGTCAGCGTCAAGGATCTGCCCTTTGATATTCTACGCCAGCGTATTGCTCAGTCCTCGGGAGCGGAGCGTAGAGAAGCCAGGAAGCAGCTGTTGCTAAAGATGGGTGCCAAGCCGGAAAAGAGAGGCTACGTTAATTACCGCCTCCTTATGGAAGAGAAAAAAGCGGCAAAGGCCGCCTCTATCGCGGACTACCATAACGTAAGCCAATCGCATTCATTTCCGGATATCATCTGACACTAACCTATAGGAGCGTTTCAAAAAGACTACCCTCGAAAGGCAGCTAGGTAAGCACACCAAAAATAAGAAGAATAAGAAACGGTCTCGAAGACTTGGAAAGCACTCAAACACTAGCTCAAAGTAAGCTTATTTTTCGTTTGTTTTATTTCGTATCTCAGGGGCCAAAGCAGCGCAGTCATGGGGATTCCAAAAAATGTGATCAAAAAAGTGAAAAGAGGAAAATAAATTCGTACAGACTCTTAGTTCGATTCTCCTCTTCAACAACGTCCTTGAGCTCTGGATTTTTTATTTGCGGGCCATCTCACCTGCTCTTCCTTCCAGTCAGATGCTGGGGGCGACTAAGAAGAGCCCACGCGTTACGTGATGGGGGTGTCAAAACTACCCCAGGTGTCTTTCTCGGTTGCAGCAACAAACAGGAGGATTGCACACACTGACTTGTTACAAACCCCCGTGGAAGGTGATACAGCGGACTCCCACGATTAGAAGCCGTCAATCCATCTGCGTAATCTTTTCTTAGTAACTATGTACATCTACAAAGCCTCGCCAATTGAGTTTCGCCCTCGTGGACAGTGGTTGCTTCCTTGACTCCTCTAACGGTTCATAATTGAGGGAATGTGAAGCGTTGTACGTCAGTCTAGCCGCGTTTCCTCCTGTGCTCTGCTGTTTAAAAGTCTGCAGCAGTCAAGCCCTTTAAAAATCCAACATTTAATGGCTGTGTCTTATAAACTGGTCTGCACGGGCTGTTTCTTAGACCCGTTGGCTGGGGAGAACTTCACAATTTTCTCGTATTCGTACGCTGGGTTCCGTCCGTCGGGCCAAATATGGATTACCGTCCTTTAGTCACATGAAGCGGATTGCAGAGGGCAAGCCTTGCGTAGCATCTTTCTCGTTATTCCGACACCTATGCTGCTCCAATAATAAGACTGCTGATTATCGCTCATACAAGTGGAAAGACGAGGCCTAGGGAGCAATTGAGAAGCGAGGGACGCTTTTTGGGGACATTGATTTTATTCATGTAACCGTCTAATCCATCAACACTGACAGCAACACATGAGAGTAATTGATAAGAAGCAGAAGCGATCGCTGAAACAAGGGCATTATTCGCCAGATGTTTCCGATTCTCACATGAACCCATCACTTGATGAATGCGGGGCATCCAGGAGAACGGATTCCTTGTGTGTTACAGGCAAGCTTTGGGATTTCAGAGCAAATAAAATAGTCACCCACAAAGTTTGGTTCAAACGCTAAACCTGCTCGTTCCCGTGCGGATTTTATGGACTCGTCACTCCCTTATCACGGAGGAATAGTTTAATGTCGTCTGGTGTAGAAGAAGAGCGCCGATCGGTGTGGATATGGAGACGAGCTGTCACAATCATGTGATGCCAGTTTTGGCAGACTTGTCAGGACATGCAAGTGGGGAACGGAATAATACTCATCGTCATCTGTCAGTAAATAGAGATTGCGGGTCACCGACGAGTTGGACCGTTGAAGTCGATTGATAATCGTTCGAATGGTTGGGTGGCTTTGATGATTTAGTCTTGTGCTTTAGAGAAGAAACAGGGTTAGATTTCACAGTGAGCTTGACACCTAGCGGGGACGTTACGAATCTTTTCCATCGGCAGGGAAATCGGGAGGCATTAGCATGACGGAGTGACTCATATGGCTCTTCTAGATTGGCATTCATTGGCAAGGCCCCATCCAACTGCGAGGAAGCGTATCCACTGCATGGTGTCAACTCTAACTTCTAGCGTTCGGTCTTGTCATTCTTCACTTTTGCTTACCACTCATAAAAACAACTGAACGCTGATCCGTGATTAGCCCAAAGTAATTGCAAAGAAGGAAGTTATTCCATTTGTGTATGGATTCCACTTCGGCGTACGCTTCTTCTTCCATCGCAGAACGATGTCGCTCGTCTGGGGATTGACTATGCGAAAATAACGCCACCATCCGGCTATTCTGATTCAGTGTGGCAACAATTGCGACGTCTGAGGCGTCGGTTTCGACATCCAATAGGGCATCACGGTAGTGGTTGGGGCTCCCGCAAGTTCTTTATTAGTTGTCCAGAATGTCCCCATTACTCCTAATGGCAGAAGGAGAGCTCTGTTGTAAATGAGCAAATGAATTTTATCCGATAAATGTGATATCCATTGTGAATAGTATACAGGCGATCTCAAGGTTTTTTGTGGCTTTAGATCATTCGAGGGATCCATTTCAGTGAAAGGCTTTGAGCGACCCGGATCTGGTTTTATATTTTCCTTAAACACTTTGTAACCGAAAACCTCGATTTCGTTGGCAGCGATGATACTTTTGGCTTCATTGGAGATCGGTCTGGAGTATATTTAGTCATTTCATCCATCCTGGATGACGGGTAGGCATCTGGGAGTGTGTGTTTATTGGTCGTCTGGCTATAATCGACAACCATCCACTTTTTGTGGTTTTCATTGGCTACTACCGGGACTTGCGCTCGCCAAGGCGATGAGGGGGGAGCTCGTTTACTCTCACAGGCAGAAGACGATGAATTTCTTGTATAGATCGCTCGTCAACGTTATTGTGCCTACCAGATTTTTTGTGATGGGTCTGCTGTCCTGTGTTAGATTAGTAAACAAGCGAGGAAACTCGATGTAAGCAGAAGCCAGAGAACACGTCGAGAAGGTAGGTTTAAGTCCCTCAAAAGAAATGTTGACGTCTTTGTATAGCCGAAGAAAGTCATGGCTGAGTGGACCATTGGCGCGTAAAATTGGTAAGACCGATAGCTTGTCTCTGTGCGGCATTGTTCGGAGCAGTGGTGCCCATGGATATCTTAGCGCGAGGTCTATAAATTTTTCAATTATTTCAGAGTACTACTTAGGACGAAGTGCGTAGTAGAGCCCGACAGTCAGTTCCGTTTAACTGTATTTCGATCGCTGCGCTTCAGGGACGATCAGGAGTAGTAGCTCCCGCTACGGCAGGAACGGTAGGGTGTGTAGAAAGGAGAACTTTTCGGTTTCTTGACGCCAGGCAAGTTTTTGTGAAAGTGCCGCCTTTTGACACATTCTTTGCACACCACATTGCGTGCCGGACACTTCGAGCGAGGCCACCTGTCATACCCACAAAAGTAATCTTTCTTATAGGCTGGACTTGGAGCCGCTACTTCAGGTCCTTTAGTTCGACTGGATGGAGTTTCACAAGCCTAAGCAGCGGCAGGGATTAAGGTTCTGGTGAAATACCGCGTTTCTGCCAATTCCAGTGACTTTGCCTGGTCAAAATCTGTTTGAAAGTTCAAAGTCTTCTGCTCCAACAGTCTCTATCGAATCCGGTTTATTGAAGGCGTCTCTGATGGCATCATCACGATTCTGTTCTGCCGTAACAACTTTGAGATCGCAGTCTCTAGTCAAAAACTTCAACTTCTGGGCGAACTAGTCGATGTTTTGTCCGCCTTCTTGTCTGCAGGCCGCAAGGCGATCGCGGGTGAAGATTTCGTCTTTAGGTCCTGAGCAGAGTTCTCGCAGCAATCTACCAACTTCCTCGTAACTGAAGCATTCATTAATCCATCACCAAACTGCAGGAGAAGCAGCCACGTAAGGAATGGACACATGACCGGTGTATTTCTACTATCCAAAGTGCCCACCACACTTGCCGAAGTAGGCGTTGTTCGGTGCAGGTTCTGATTGGAAACCAGTCACGCCCCTCGACGGCACCAGCCCCGGTAGGATGACATTCTTTGAACTAGGCCCTTTCTTTGCTCGGTTGCAGACTTTCGATCGTAACCATGAAATTCTCAAACGTTCGGAACCTGTGCTTCCATTGAAACAGAAAATTGTTCTCGATCCATTCCCGAGTTGTATGATGAATAATGACCACAATCACGCGAGTGAGGCAGCACGAGAGAACTAGAATGGAAGAGGCGGAATGAACGAGTATCCTATTCATCGTACATCTGACGTATCTGAACTAAAACTACAAAAGGAACAATAGTAAATGTGATAGAATTTGATCGGGATAATAAGTTAGCACGACGGGCAGTGGGGAGAATGCACATACACACACGCTGGGATTATCACCGAGCGGTTTTTTGCACGCAGAGAAGCTCACCGAGGATCAATTGTTAGACGTTTTAAATTGTCAGTGCAAGCACGGACTCACAACTGCCATACCTGTTGTGGTAGGCCTGGGTGCCCCACTGTAAGCTAAGCCGACATTATCGTTAGTGCCCTACAATCGTCCCCGCTATACAACACCAAATCATAGATTCACTTATCAATTGAAGCGAAGAAACGAGTCCCAGGAAGCAGCCTCGAAGACGGAGACAAGATCGCTGGGACAAGAGCTTTAGTCGCCTGACGTATCGGATTCCCGCTCGAACCCATCATCAGAGACAAAAGCACATAGGGGTGGTTCATGCACAAGGGGCTGCAGTATTTATAGGACATAGTCGTCATGATACCGCATGCCTATGAATATTCACGGCTGCCAACCCACCTCCCCCATGCATCAGGGATCGTTGCACTTGGTGTGTTCACTGTTTGATGACCGAAATGCACTTCGTTAATCGCTACAATTCCATAGTTTGTGTTGGATGTTGATTTGGCGATTGATCGACCATCTGATCCACCGACCCTGGCGTTGAGAAAAGTGTTCACGTGTGTGCTTCCCGCGCGGCTAATTACTCCAACTAGGCGAAGTCTCGACACTGAGTACGGAAGGGGAAGGTCATTACACTTTTTAATGTACTGGAGGCCAGTAAACCATGTATCCAGTAGCTCCCGGCTCACGCAGTTGTCACCTCTTGCGAGAATTTCGGCCTCGTCGAATTTGAATGTGTGGCCGGATCTCGTCGAATGAGCTGCAACTTGAGAGCTGGCGTCATTTCTCTGCACCGCTGCGGCGTGTTCGGCTATTCGCGTTCGGAGCTGTCTTCCGGTTCCTTCGACGTAGTTACTTTGTCCACGACTGCACCAGATCTGATAAACGACGCCAGACGTTTCTTGCCTTGGCAGCGGGTCTTTTGGTTTCATTACCTGACGCTTGATGGTTGTCTCCGGCCTGTGTAAAACCCAAAGTGTGCGAGAAGGCGGCCGACAGCTTCCGAACCGTTCTTGACATACGGAAGCGGTCGTCAAAATTTGGTGTCAATGCGGTTTGGTCTTTCGATTCTTTTACGCATGCATCGGTTGACGAAGTTGCGCGGGTAGCCATTGGCGCCGAAGGTATAGTAGTTTGAGAATATTGTCTTCTGGTTCACTACAGTGCGTTTCGACACGCCGATAGAGCGTCCTTACACAGCTGCGTTTGTGGCTGATTGGGTGGTTGCTGGTTAAGTTCGGTGTTTGCATCGTATTTGTCGCCTTCCTGAACACTTTGGTCTTTAGTCCACCACAATCTTTGCGGCATACGAGGACATCCAGGAAGACCAGCTGGTTGTTCTCTTCCTTCTTCATCGTAAATTGTATGTCCGGGAAGACCGCATTCAGATGTTCCTTGAATGTCAGCAGTTGATCGCGGTCGATAACGACGAAGGTATCATCCACAAGCCGGACCCAGAACTTAGGTCTGTGGTGTTGGAAGACCAGCGACTCTAAGCGTTGCAGGACCGCCTCGGTAATGAATCCCGAAATCAGCGAACCGATTGACGTGTCCCTCACCTGTTCATAGATTGTCCTGTCGAACGAGAAGTACGTCCTGAGACAGAGCTGAAGGATTTGGGCGTGTCCAAGACGATTCTCCGTTTCATCGTATTCGCTTTGTACAAGCAACTCAATTGTCTCGATCGCCAGGTCCTAGGCAATAGAAGTAAAAAGGGACGCAACATCAAAAGATACCATGACCTCATTTGAATGGATGCTTACCCCTTTGAGTTTCTCCGGGAATTGTGCTGACGAAGAGACCGTGGTGTCTGACTCAGCGGTCAGGAACTTGAGACGCCGGAACAGCCACTTAGCCAGTCCGTACGTTGGAGTCCCTTGGAGCGACACGATGGGTCGGAGAGGAGCGCCGTCTTTGTGCACCTTAGGGAGGCCGTAGAATCGGGCTAAAGCCGTATCTTGGGGTCTCGCCATGTATCAGTCTGTCGGTGTTATTGCACCTGAGTTCTCCAAGGCCAACCACCCGTTTCTGCTTTTTTGTCTCTGATGATGGATTCGAGTAGGAATCCGAAACGTCAGGCTAATAAAGCTCTTGTCCCGGCAATCATGTCTCCTTCTTCAAAACAGGCAGTATGTTTAAATAATGTCAAGTCGACGTTTTGCTATAAGACTGCGTCTGTGGTGCATGTCGTTTGCAACTTCCAGAAAACCGGATCCACCCTAGTTTAGATTCATGAGTGTGATTATGCTACAGTCCCGCTGGCACAAAAGTAAATGTGCTAACGTATATGCTACTATCGGTATTATAGTAACATGTATATTTGTTCGTAGTATCACAGGTACAGATACAAGTCATTTTACCCTTTAAAGATGCCGAAGTATGCAGAGATAGAAGTTGAGGCATTGGACGCTTGACATTACGCCCTTCGTTCTCTCAGACGCCAATTTACCCCCGTTGCTCAAACACAACCTAACAACCAGCTTCACGCAGATGTCTTGGGACATCCAATCTTCAACAGTATAAGAAGAGATCTCATTTAACGAAAGTCGTTTGTCCTGACGTCGGGGAATCAAATGAACCTCGGATGCATTAAGACAGACGGGGCCGTGATTTCCTAGTCGATCGTATAAAACCAGACCTCAAAATAGGTTTGAAAGAGGTGTTAGCAAATAAGTAGCAGGTAATGCCAGTAGCGGTGGACGAAATGATTGCATTTCGGAAATTGGCAACGCTCTGAGACCTGGACTCAAAGTCACTCGGTCGGAAAGGCTGACGCACTAAGTTACCAGCACAATATATTCTTCGAAATAACCCGCACAGATAAATATATTTATACAGTGGCAGTCTGGTCTTCGGTGCATCACAGCTCTCCAAACTGGCCAATCAGCTTCAATGCTATTTCAATTCAACCCTCAGGTACCAGCACAATATATGCTCTGAAATCACGTAAGACGCTACTTGCCGGTTTAGTGATTATGAAGCCCCCACTGCCTGCCCAAACACAATGCAGATCGATAGATGAGGGTTTAACACACAAAATGCCCGTGTGAATGCCGCGAGGGGTGAAGGGCGGGGGGTTAATAAACAAGTGAAGGCCGTGCGAGCTGAAATTTGCTAGACACATAAGGAGTTCAGTGGCCGAAACGATATATTGAACAATACTTTTGTCTTAAACACCTATATTTGTAGTCGTCAGTGCAATAATCAAAAGCCATTCCATAGGTAGTTTTACACACAAGTGTAGTTCCCTTTTACTTTATCTGGTTATATTGAAATGCTAAAGTCACACACATCATTGAATGAAGCCCTACGCCATGTAAAAACTTCGTTTTCGTAACTGACACCGGCTCTAATGCAGGAAGTCTGAGACATTAATTTGTCGGTTCTTTTTCTTCCTGGGTTTACCAAAGTTGTTTTGACTGAGCATTAACACCAATACTTCCCCACATTTACCATAACTGCCATTGTATGGTCGGCTATTCCCGTCCTCACTACTTTTCCCATTTACACAACAATGCTTAATCGTCCGTGCCTACATCGAACGCGGCAGACGATGGTCAGTAGTCAATGAAGTCCCAAGACATTAACAACACGGACTTCACTGCTAAGGGGATTTCCAGGCCATGAACGCAGAACCTATCACATTTCTCGGCCTTGTGTTCGCACACGTCTCTGTACACGGCACACATCTCTTGCTGTCCGCGATTAGGAGCCCACCGTTAGGCAGAATCATCTGAATGACATGGTCCTCGTTTCAGCTCGCAGAAGCAATTCACTTCAACCACTACCTATGGGACATTGTATTTATCTTGACTTACAGTCCAACATATTTCGAGTTCTGAAAAGAACAGAAGTTACTTCAACTTTATGTTTTCCACAAGTAGCATACTTGGCCTTAATATCAACTCGCACACCTGCGGATTTGTATCTTTACTGGGTTTGCGCATTATACTGACGCAAATATTAACTGATCCACCTAGTCAGTTGTGATGAAATACTAATTCCAGTACCCACAAGAAAAACCTTACCTCCAATCGATCATCTTGAAGGCCCGACACTGTCCATCCCTTTAAAGTTGTCACATAAAAAGGAGAAAACGATTATATTTGCAAGCTCTTTATTCATGACATTTAAAAACACAGAGGTTTACATGCGAATGCTTGCAGCTCCATCAATCCGATCAAACGCTTCCACTGGACGCATTAACGTCCAGGCCCATGATCTCAAGTCGTCGCAAAAGTAAGTTGGACCTCCTGGTGCACTCAAAATCTCTACCGTGTTTTTCGGGCCTATTTGAGTACCTGCAAATTGTAAAAAGTTAGAGGTAAGTTGTTTCATAAAAACAATATCTGAAAAAGTGGAGATCAAGAAGAAAAGAGAACATTCACTGAAAAACCGAAAACTTCTGGATCCAATGCGACTGTATGCGTGAAAACTCGAACAGTATGCTTTTGCTGTTGTATACGGACGTTTACGCGGATAAGGGCATTGAGTAGCATAAAGAAGGGAGACTCACTCACACACAGAGACAGAGAAAAAGAATCGAGGCAGTTTTGCGCTACCAAAGAACAAGGGAAGGAGCATTACCACCGAGAGCAAAGACCACGTCGGTGGAGGTGAGAAGAGCTGGCCAAATGCGACGCTCCTTCATGCTAGCGAGCTCTGTCCACTGGCCGAGTGGGCAGAGGGCATCTGGGGGCGAAAACATTTCTACGACGTTTGAATTTGCCGGACTAAATCCACCGGCGACAAGGATTCGGCCTCTGAAGTGTGTCGCAGCCATACAGTATCGTGCAGTTCTCATGGGCGCAGCTGGCAACCAGAAGTCCTCACTGCGTGCAGAGGCCGCCTGCTGCCGCCAGTCTCCTCACAGATGGCAGAATTCCACGGAGGCAAGCGGGCGAACGAGTCGTTGCATACCGCCAAAAACGAAGATGCGACTGTCGCCGGGCAGAGAGGCAGCAGCTGGACCAGCTCTCTTCACCCGCATATCGGGCAAACTACACCATCTATGGGGGTGAAGCAGACTGCAGTGAGGATACTATCGAAGTGGGGAACCAGTATGCGTCACACGACTGTCTTCTCACCTGTCCTGACTGACGTCATAGACTTCACAGGAGGAAAGAATCTCCGTGGGTAGCCGTCCACCAAAAATGCCGATAAACGTCTTCTCTTCGCCTTCCTCGTCTGCAGCCTTTACGACTGCAACTGCGGGCCCACTGCGTTCAAATGCGTACGGTGCCCTCTCTTGCCAGCGTCCTTCTCGCACCAGAAACTCACTAACTCGTTGTCCCCCACCGACCACGAAAATGCTCTCTTCCGTG